AACTCCCAATGAAGGGAGACCCATGTCTTTGCAGGAACTGGTGCAGAATCATGCACCACCTCAGTCCATCCCAATCAAAACATTAGGCCGCTACTTCCTGAAGAGATTAAAAACTGCTCTCTATTCAAATTTACGACCGGAACAGGCTGGCTGGCATCAGGAAAAACAAATCATGTGCGGATTAAATTACAACGCTACGCTACGCATCACCATAGAACACAGCATTGTATGGCAGTCAACTGGGTCTTTACCTCAACTTCATCGACCTTTAAAAGGGCTTCGATAGCATCGACCGAGAAGTAATTTGGCAGGTAGCCGCTTCAATACTGCGGTTCTAGTACCACAAACCTATATCAACCTCATTCAATAGCTATATGCTATGCTATATGATGCTACATGCATACGCCGGCTGGACCGATGAAAAGACCCTAGAAGATTTGGATCTTGCCAATGATTATTTATTTCTAATGTATTGTCGCACAAACTCGAAGATCTACAAGTTGACAGAAGACGTGAGGCAGTGAAGACGGGACTTCCTTCAGGTGGACGTAGAGAAGACAGAGGTGATGAAGATACCCAACCAGCAGCTTCGACAACAACAACAAGCATCACCATCAACGAAAGAAATCTGTATGAAGTTATCTCTTTCACCTACCTGCCTAGGTTGCATTGTTTCAATTACAGGTGGCACACGCACAGATGAGGTCGTCAAAGGCAGGATCGGAAAGACAGCAAGACAGACCTTCCTTCATTAATCTAAAATCAGTGTGGAGATCTACTGTACTACTCCCCATTCAGCATAAAGCGTGAACAAGATCCGGATTTTCAACACTAATGTCAGTCAAGTCAGTGCTTGTATGTGATGGTTGAGAGACTTGGCGCGTCACGAAAAGCATTTTCAACAAGCTGCAGACATGCATCATGAACAGCTGCCACCTACGCCTACTCGATACTAAAGATCAGATGGCCAGAATAATAAGAATAGGCAACAAGGAACTCTGGTCTGGCAACGAACCAACCAATAACCCATCGTCCAACAAATATGCAGAAGAAGGTGGAGATGAATTGGATTGGACACACTGAAAAGACCATTTGGGGACATCACGCGTCAAGCCAGGCCCTCTAGTGGAACCGAAATGGGAAATGATGAGTTGGGCGTCCGAGGCGACGGTGACATGGAGGAGATGATATGAGGAAGAAATGAAAGCAGTCGCAGAACCGGGTTAAGAGGACTGTGGAGAATAGAATGAGATGGCGACGTACTACTGAAGCCCTATGTCCCACTAAGAACCCAAGAGGCAAAGAATAATAATAATAATAATAATAATAATAATAGGGATTCCGGGGAGAAGACTTCAGTTAGTGAAACAATCACCAAAAAGGATGGAACGCTGATAAACTTCCAGGGCAAGTGGCTAGAACGTTGGGCAGTACACTTTGAAGCACAGTTTATCTGGCCCTCAGCAACGCTTCAGTTTTCCAACATCAAGCGTAAACCTAAATGGGAAGTAGATATCGACCGTCTAACTCTCCTTACAGTCAAGAAATGTATATCAAACCGGAAATGATGCAAAGCAGCAGAATCTGAAAGTTTACCATCTGAATTTTCAAGATTTTAGGTAGGAAAGTACTCACTAAAATGAGGAAGGTATTAGGCAGTTTATGGAGATCAGAAGTATAGCCGCCAGAGTGTTGTACTTCATTGACCATCCCAGTTTATAAGGGAGTGAGATCTAGTGAATCCATAAGCAAATTAGCTTCACTAAAGTTGTGTCAAAGATCCTTGGGTCCATAGTTATCCGACACCTTAGTGAAGCTCCAGTACAGCAAACTTGAGCAAACCAGCAGCATTTGAGACCTAGTTGAGGGTGCATAAGTCATATTTTCACTCTCCGTCAGGTTGCGAAACACAGTCATACTTCACAACCAGTGGCCGACATTTGCCGTGATTCTTCACCTGAAGTTAGCATTTGACTCTATCGACAGAGATGTTGTGGCAGTGTCTGAAAGGAGTTCCGAGAATAAAGTTTATCAAAGCTCTCACGCGGACGTGTAAGGGTTTATGGAGAGTTGTCATGCAAACTGACGAAAACTAGTGGTGTCCGGTAGGCATGTCTGCTGTCATCCTCTCTATTTAACTTTATCGTAAACGTACTAATGCACATATCCTTAGGTAAATCTGACTTGACAGGGATTGATCTACTCTCTGGTGGTCATCTGGTTGATTTAAAGTTTCCAGACGAAAAGTGTCGAAAAGTTCACTTGCTTGAAGAGATGCATCAGCCCGAACGAGATGACTGCTGACAAAATCGGAGCCCGTGTACAGAAGCTCCGTTTGGCATTCGCCTGCTTGCGTTATCTGTAACGCCTGAGAGACATTAGACTATCTAACAAAGGACGAGTATACTGTACTGCAGTTCGTTCTGTCCTGTTACACAGCTGTGAGACATGGCCGTTAAAAGTAGAAGACATGAGGCAGTTGCAGAGTTCCAACCACAAATGTCCATGTAGCATTACTTGCGTTTGATGGGATCACCGTGTGACCAATGTTGAGGTCAGGCGATGGGTACTAAGCAAGATAGGCAAGTCGACTGACACAGCTTGGACATGTGTCACTCATGCCGAGTCACCATCTACCTCAATGTGTTATCCTAGGGGAATCCGGATTAGGTTGGGAGAGGGTTCAGGGTGGCCAGACTAAGACGTGGCATCAGTTGATAATGTCTCTTATTGTTCATATGAGTCGTGTGGTGAGATGTAGACTGCTCGGCTGGGGTCTCCGAGACGAAAGGAACTGGTAGTTGGGAACTCTTGGCGAAATGGCTGGAAATCGGTTTCAGTGGTGCTGATGCATTCACTCCTTGACGTCTTCTGAATCTTCAATATTTGCACCAACCTTTATCTTCAAATTGCTTATTGTCTCACACAACTTTGTTTACTTTGATTTCACTTTTTTTATCCACCTGTGACGTGTGGCAATTTGAGCCGATGCACCTATGTGCCAGGTTCTGCATAGATTTTGTCAGCAGGCAGTAGGACGTACTATGAACTGAAAGACTGTTAGTTGTACGCAGGGAATCGGCAGGAAGCCCCATTCCACTTAGGTTTCCTGATTATTAGCACTCGCCAGTAAGGTGTATCTGTGACCTCTAAGGAACTGATGTCTCCTGTGAAACGTGAACCTGTGTCACCCAGTTTTGTAGTTAGAGACGTTACCACTGAGTTATTCGAGACACGACTGAGCTCATGAGGAGTGAATTACATAAAAATCGATTTCATGTTGTCTAGTCCTGAATGCTGACAGAATTATGTTGATCAGACTGTACTCCGCTGAAGCAATGAAAGTCAACAACTTCTTTAAACAAAATGTTAAATAATTACATCAATTCTGTCAGAAATGAAAACTATTAAGACGAAAAGTTATCAGCTGACATCTTAACCTATTCACTTTAATAAATCCACTGATTACAGTAATTGTTGACAGGTAGTGACAATATGTCATACGTGGGCTATTCATAACATTTATATTAGCACAGATAAAAAAACATTTAATTGGCTTTTACTAAATTATGTCATGTATAGCGTCGGTGGGACATCCAATAGACTACTAAAAGTCGCGTACTGTGTAGCAGTTAGCTCATTTCTACTCTATGGTTTAGAAACATGATCATTAAGAGTGAAAGATGTGAGAAGGCTTCAGGTGTTTGACAACCATTGCATCACGTTTCATTGTGTACATAAACATGGATTACGATCCAACCTAAAGAATTTCTATACTGTCACAATCTAATATACACCAGAGAACTATCAAAAACAAAAAATTTCTCGCTGAAAAATAAAGGAAAACATATTTCACTTTTAACTGAGTTGGTAAAAAAACAAAATATCGGTAATGAACAAGTTTGTATATTCATGAGATCGCTTTAAAAAAAATACCAAGATAACATTGATTGAGTAAAATAACACTAACTGTGACATTGAATTATTAATCCAAAAAAATTACTTATGTACAGAATTACGAGTTAATTTAATTTAAAAAAATCATGGGAGAGTAAAGTTAGAACGAAAACAATCTTTAAAAAAAAGAAGGCTATACTTCACGAAATTGGAACATTTACATTGAAATGTATTATAAAACATTTTTTTAAGTATTGAAAATACAATAAATTTCAAGATTTGGATATTCAATCCTAAAATTGATCAACACTGTTATCTACTTCATCTTCCACAATCAAAATATCGATTTGTGGGCAACATTAGTCCTGCTTCAGTTCAAGGAACAGATGTTTTCATAAATTCTGCATTTAGTGAATTACAATGAATTGATAACTGAACATAATTATTATATTCAGGTTTCCTTCAGTGCTCAATTTTCAAGTTCACAAATAAGCAGTAACTAAGTTAATAAACGCGTTAATATGATTGCTTCAAGTGATATATAGAAAAACAAATTACCCTTTCTACATGGGAAAATTGTTCCGTGAAAAGTTTATTATTGCCAACATACAACTAATTATGATGATTTATAAGAAAAAAAGATTGCAAAGTTAAATGATGACATACTGAGGAATTGTTGAGCAAAGGAGGAAAAATCGATTTTTATTGTTTGATGTAGGAATAAATGTGACCAGAGGACAAAAAGGTATTACATGGAAAGATGATTAAACGAATGCCTATCACATAATGATGAAGAGGAGAAAAGCAGCATGTGTAATTAAGAAGAGAGCATACATACACATAATATCAAACGTATATGTAAATCACATTAATGCACAGTAAATGCATTGAGAACCGATTGTCACATTGACAAGATTATGACAACTGTGTACATGTCTACCAAATACTATTAGTATATACTTTCAGTATACGAAAAAGGAAAAAATGAGTGTAAAATACATTTGTTTTTTGAAAAGTCGACAAAAGCAATGCAAAAATTACAACAGCCACGATGACAAAAGCATTTATAGAGTATGGTCATGAATACAAATCATTTCTCTACTCTATACACGTTGACCAGGTATATGACCATGAAATGCTAAAGGAGATGATTTCCCATTATTGCGCAGGATAACACAACCAATGAATACAAGAATTAAGCCTAGCGCTGACCCAACTGCAATGCCAACAACTTCACCACTTGTTAAATGCATTGGTCTTTCACCGCCTACAAACACCCCGTCCCAACAACAAAAAATAATGGAATAAGATTAAATCAGTCACAAACTGTTAACATGCAGTAACCTTGAGAAAATGTCAATGCATATGCAGAGAAAAACAGTTAATACAATTTTTGAATAAATATATTCCTCATGCACAATATCACCATTGCAGACAAGTTAGTCAACTTAAGAAGCCAACATATCACACAACAATTTGAATTCAGATAAATTAATAGTAAGAATTACTTCAAACTTGCCAACGTACATGAGATTTCGGTAACTCCAAGGTAAACACCACAGCAACGACATTCGAAAGGAGAGAAATTACTGATTTATCTAACCTAGTGAGTAGAATAAGTACATATATACCCTAAGCTTTGATGGAAAGCCCTGTCACATGATCAGACGGGTTAAAAATAAAATTCACTTACTATGCAGTTATGTGAAATACATTAAGTCCACGGTAATGTTTTTTTTACTGTTATTTTCTACCCCTTCCAACTCACTCCCTGTGTCACTTGTTGTCCAGTTAAAATAGACAATGAAATATCCCATGCTATTGGTTGCACGAAATCGAAAAGTATTATAAACAGAAGCGAACTGAGGACGGGTTGCTTCGTTTTCATGATGAACGACGATACCATCCAAAGTGTTGTAACCGAAAACGAATCAATCTTTATGGAGCGTTTTTGTCTCGCCGCGTTTCTGTCCTTAGAGCCTTTGAAGGTCGCCCTGAAGGAGTATGAGAAACAGACGTACACATACTACGTTGTGCGAGATTCACATTTGCAAGGTGACCAGAGAGCTTACATTAAGTTTGTTTGCTTTAAGGCTAGTGAACGCCAGTCAATAGGTGGTGTAGTGACAAGAAGGTTAGTTTTGTTTGTCTTCATTATTTACTTCATAGAATATCCCTGAAATGTTCTTGTCGGGCGTTCATGCTCACGAAGTTCTTAGAAGGTTTCTGGACAGTTACTCGGTGGCTGTTAACTCACAATCATCCCTGCAATTCACTGCTTTATGACAATAGTTCTTGGACGTGGAAGTTGACAGGAGCTGAATTGGAAAGTATAAGGCCATTGCTGATATCCGGAACGGCTGCATTTAATATTGTCGATTTCGTTTATGCACACTACGGTAAACGACTGAATAGCCAATATGTGTTCAATATGCGCTATCGCCTCTTGCCTCAGTGTAATTTGACCGGTAATTGGATTTTCCCATGTAACGATGTTGTTGTAGGCAGTTATGAAAAGTATCAGTAGTGTATGTCGTAACATTGAGCAACAATCAACTGGCGCAGGTTCAGAAGCAAAAAAGACACATATCGAGTAGAAATGTGCAGACTAGGGACGCGATGCACTTAGATCCTGGAAAATGAAATATTCACAAGTGTGACTTTCGTGTAGGATTAAATAAATCTAACCAAAAGGAATCGTAATTTCCCGGAAAAGAATAATTGTTGCTTCACTGAACTTCAACCTCGCCTGGTTAACTAGTTACTAGCCAGTCCTAAGCTCGGGTAAAGAGGGGAGGTTGGGAGTAGGGCTAGGAACCCTACCCCGTAAGACCAATACAACCACTACACAAACTTCAAAACACAAAGAAAATACAAAAAAGTAAAAACAATATTATTCCTCACTGGAATCGGAGAAGCAAAATTATACCGGTTGGTGAAAGCCTTCGGAAAGCCAATTGGCCGGTGTATCTTATCTCGATGAAAGCAGAAGTAAACGTGGGGACATGGAATGTCCGCACCATGTCTGAATCTACCAAGGCTGCCCAGATCACAAAGGAGATGAGAAGGCATCGCACTGAAGTGTTAGGAATTCGCGAAAGCAGATGGAATGGAAGTTGACTCTCCAAACTGTCAGCTGGAAAACCAACAATCTACTCCGACATTCTCACCCAGAAGACAACCACGAGCACACTGAGCTATGGAGTGGCTATCATGATGTCCTCTTGAAGAGCATAAAAAGCTCTCATGCAGTGGGAACCAATCTCCTCCAGGATCATAACAGCAAGGTTCAACTCAGAGAGATGGAAAGTCACAATCATTCAATGCTACGTACATGCAAATAATGCAGATCAAGAGAAAAGGGAGGAATTCCATAGACAATTGCAATCGGTAATGGGCAAGGCAACACAACAGATGGCGACATCAAAATCCTGATGGGCGACATGAATGCCAAACTGCTAGGAGTGGACAACACAGGAAAAGAACTCGTCACGTGTCGAGAAGCACTGGGTGAAATGAACCAGAACGGAGAATCGTTTGCAGAATTCTGTATATTCAACGATTTGGTGATTGGAGGCGAGGCAGTGTGTTCAAGCACAGGGATATCCACAAAGCGACATGGATTTCACCAGACACCAGGACACACTAAAAATCATATCGACTTCATCTCAATCTCAAGAAAATGGAGACACAGTCTACTTGACACAAGGTGAAGAAGAGGAGCAGATGTGGGTTCACACCACTCACCATCTAGTGCAAGGAACCTATCTTCAAAATCAAGTTGAAAGCCTTCAAGGAAGCTGGTAATAGACCTCAATTCAAGTACAACACCCAGAAACTGAAGGACAAAACTACAAAGGAAATCTTCACGACAGCCATCAAGACAAAATGGGATATCGAGCAACATCCTTGAAGAAACCTGTGTGGAAGAACACTGGAAGTCTTTGAAAGATATGTGGAGAGAAACCTGCACAGCTGTATTAGGAAGGAAGAAGAAAGAAGATAAAGAATGGATCTCAATGGATACATGGAAGCTGATAGAGCAAGGAGAGGAGGATGGTGAAGCAGAAGATAAACCAGTGCAAGGATGCTCAACGACAGGAGGAACTGAGTACAATGTATAAAACACTGGACAAAGAAGTGAAGAAGAGTGCACGCAAAGACAAAAGACACTTCTACGAAACACTGGCAAGTGAATCAGAACAGGCTGCAGGTAAGAGAGACCTGACAACATTGTATCAAATAACCAGGTTACTATCTGGGAAGAGATCAACTCAGACGAAACCAATAAAAGATGATGAAGGAAATTTAATTACGAAAGAAGAGGAACAAAGGAAACAATGAGCTGACCACTTCAAAAAGCTCTTGAATCGACCACCAGCACTACCTGCATTTTGTCCAGAAATACCATCTGCAGGCGATGAACTACAAGTGAACATAAATCCTCCAAGAAAAGTCGAAGTACTGAATTCCATAAAGCTACTGAAATGAGGGAAAGCAGCAGGACCAGATGGGATCCCGCCAGAAGCACTGAGAGCAGACGCAGAGACAACAGCAGACATGCTCACACTACACCACTCTTGCAGAAGGTGTGGAAGGAAGAGAAGGTACTTGCCCAGTGATTGGAAGAAGGGTTACCTTGTCAAACTCCCGAAGAACGGAGACCTTAGTGTTTGCAAGAACTGGTGAGGAATCACTCTGCTGTCCACCCAGAGCAAGAAAATATTAGGCCGCATCATCCTGGAGAGACTATGGGATGCACTGGATTCAAAACTACGACCGGAACAGGCAGGCTGGTTTCAGGAAGTACAAATCATGTGCCGACCAAATTGCAACCCAACGCTACGCATCATCATAGAACAGAGCATAAAATGGCAGTCAACTCAACTTTATCGACTTTGAGAAGGCCTTTGACAGCGTCGACCGAGAAGTAATTTGGAAACTGCTTCATTACTACGGAGTACCGCAAACCTTTATCAGCCTCATTCAACAACTATATCAAGACGCCATATGCCAAGTAATTCACAATAAGCTCAGTGATGCTTTTGAAGTGAAGACAGGAGTGAAACAAGGTTGCCTACTATCACCTATGTTCTTCCTGATTGTGGTCGACTGGATCATGCAGCAAACAGTGGGGAGCGAGAAGAGGGGGATACGCCGGCTGGACTGCGGAAAACAACCTAGAAGATCTGGATTTCGCCAGTGATGACTTGTGCCTGATGTCACACAAACTTGAAGATCTACAGGCGAAAACTAACAGGTTGACAAAAGAGGCGAGGCAGCGAAGACGAGACTTCAGGTGAATATAGAGAAGACAGAAGTGATGAAGATACCCAACCAACGCCACCACCACCAACAACAACAAACTCCAGTCACCATCAACGGAAGAAACTCAAAGGAAGTAACCTCCTTCACCTATCTAGGAAGCACTGTTTCAACTACAGGTGGCACAGACGAGGATGTCAAAGTCAGAATCGGAAAGACAACAAGACAGGCGTTCATTAGCCTGAAACCAGTGTGGAGATCTACTGCACTGCACTCAGCATGTGGAACAAGATCCGCATTTGCAGCACCAACACCAACGTCAAGTCAGTGCTTTTGTATGGTTCAGAGACTTGGCGCGTTACCAAAGGCATTTCCAATAAACTACAGACATTATCAACAACTGCCTACGCTCGCTACTGAAGATCAGATGGATTGCCAGAAACAATAAGCAACAAGGAACTCTGGCTGGTAAAGAACCAACCAAGAACCTATCACCCAACAAATATGCAGGAGGAAGTGGAGATGGATTGCATTGGACATACACTGACAAGGCCGACTGGGGACATCACGCGTCAGGCCAGTTGCTCGAGTGAAACCCCCATGGGAAGCGACGAGTTGGACGTCCGAGGGTGACATGGAGGAGATCGTGCGAGGAGGAAAGGAGAGCTTCTGGGCTGTCGTGGAGCCAGGTTCGAAAGATTTCAGAGAACAGATTGTACTGGAGACGTGCTACTGAGGCCCTATGTTCCATTAGGAACCCAAGGGACTAATAATAATATAATCACTGAACTTCTCTTCTGCGTGATGTCAGATTTGGTGTCACCTTACTTTTAAAGAGGGAGATTAGAGGAAACCGAGCATCCGATTCTATGACAATCTCAGGAAATCAAGTCATGTTTCCAATTTGGAATATTAGTTGCTTTTATAGAATATAAAGAGTAACAGAAGCGATATTTCCGCTGAATGGATAAACTCTAGCATTTAAGTCTGACTAGCAAATGA